TTCCCTTTTCCCTTTTCCCTTTTCCCTTTTTGCTTTTCCCTTTTCCTTTCCTTTTCCCTTTTCCCCTTTCCCATTCCCTTTCCCATTCCCATTCCCTTTTCCCTTTCCCTTTCCCTTTCCCTTTCCCTTTCCCTTTCCCTTTCCCTTTCCCTTTCCTTTTCCCTTCCCCATTCCCTTCCCCATTCCCTTTTCCCTTTCCCATTCCCTTTCCCATTCCCTTTCCCTTTTCCTTTTCCCTTTTTCCCCATCCATCCCAGCCCTCATTTTATCCCCCATCATTTTACTCCGAATTAACAAACAAATACTTGAGGTTTGGGGGTCTAAATCCAAAGTTGCAACAATGTCGCATCCACAGGAGGTGTTTTCCACCAAAATAAAGCTGTTTTCCACGGTCAAGGCTTCCCTCCACTGTTGCCAAGCAGGGATGGTGGCCCGGCCAATTGCCCTGCTCATTCATATCTTTATTTTTAATACTTTTTCCTCCTTCCAGGCCTATTCGCTGGTGGACCGGGAGGTGGGATACTGCCAAGGGAGCGCCTTCATCGTGGGACTGCTGCTCATGCAGGTTTGTGATGATCCCAATGAGGAGGAGAAGCTGCCTGTAGGGTTTTAAGGGGGAATTCATGTCCTTTTGGGTCTCCAGATGCCTGAGGAAGAGGCTTTCTGCGTGTTCGTGAGGCTGATGCAGGAATATCGCTTACGGGAGCTCTTCAAACCCAGCATGGCCGAGCTGGGGCTCTGCATCTACCAGTTCGAGTACATGCTGCAGGTAGGCACCACCCCATGGCCCCCAAAATGCTTGGAGGGGGTGGGAACAAGGGGGTAGAGACAGGGGACAAGGATTAGGAGAGGTAGGGACAAGTGGGTTCCTCCAGCGGAGCTCGTGTCCAGCGATCCAGGTCCTGGGGACATCCGTGAGATGCTCTGAGACCTATCCATGATTCCTCAATGAGGACATCAGGGGAACACCAAGGATGTGCCCAAGATACCCTGGGGACATCCATGATACCCTGGGGACCACCTGTGGGACACCCAAAGGGACCATCCATGATACCCTGGGGACCACCTGTGGGACACCCAAAGGGACCATCCATGAGACCCTACATCAATGAGACCCTGGGGACCACCTGTGGGACACCCAAAGGGACCATCCATGAGATCCCCAAAGGGACCATCCATGAGACCTCTAAGGGACCATCCATGAGACCTCAGAGGGACCATCCATGGGACCCCCAAAGGGACCATGCATGAGACCCTGGGGACCACTTGTGGGACACCCAAAGGGACCATCCACGAGACCCCCAACGGGACCATCCATGAGACCCCAAATGGACCATCCATGAGACCCCAAAGGAACCACCTATGGGACACCCCAAATGGACCATGCATGAGACCCTGGGGACCACCTGTGGGACACCCATAGGGACCATCCATGATGCACCCATAGGGACCATCCATGAGACCTCAAAGGGACAATCCATGAGACCCCCAACAGGACCATCCATGAGACCCCAAAGGGACCCATCCATGAGACCCTGGGGACCACTTGTGGGACACCCAACGGGACCATCCATGGGACCCCAAAGGGACCACCTATGGGACCCCAACAGGACCATCCATGAGACCCCAAAGGGACCATCCATGAGACCCTGGGGATCACTTGTGGGACACCCAACGGGACCATCCATGAGACGCCCCAAAAGAACCACCCATAGGACCCCAGAGGGACCTCCCCAATCCCTCATGGACCTTCCCCAACCTCACCAGCCATGACTGACCCCCGAAAACCACCCCCCACTCCCCATTTCTCTTCATTTCCCCCCATGATTCCTCCATCCAGGAGCAGCTGCCGGAGCTGAACATCCACTTCCGCTCGCAGAGCTTCCTCACCTCCATGTACGCCTCGTCCTGGTTCCTCACCCTCTTCCTCACCACCTTCCCTCTGCCCGTGGCCACGCGCGTCTTCGACATCTTCATGTACGAGGTAACGCGAGGGGCCCACGTCCAACACCGTTGACCACAACCCCGCTCTCCCTACACCAACCGGGCCGGTTTTGGGGTGAAAGAACCCCCAAATCTCAGGCTGGAAAAGGCGATGGCGTGGGGTCGAGCGTGGACCTTTCTTGTAGGGGCTGGAGATCGTCTTCCGCGTGGGGATGGCGCTGCTGCAGTTCAACCAGGCCGAGCTGGTGCAGCTGGACATGGAGGGCATGTCCCAGGTACCTGCCCCTGGATTTTGGGGTGGAGTTGTCCAATAGGATGTGGGTTTGGGGTGGATTTATTCAATGGGACGAGGTTTGGGGTGGATTTGTTCAATCAGGGTGTGTTTTGGGGTTGGTTTTGTCCAATAGGATGTGGGTTTGGGGTGGATTTGTTCAATGAGGGTGTGTTTTGGGGTTGGTTTTCCCCACCAACCCCTATTTTAGGGCCTATTTTCCACACTAATCCCTATTTTAGAGCTGTTTTCCCCCAGTAATCCCTTTTTTAGGGCCATTTTCCCCCACCAACCCCTATTTTAGAGCTGTTTTTCCCCACCAACCCCTATTTTATGGCCATTTTCCCCCAACAACTCCTATTTTAGTGCCTATTTTTCCCCACCAACCTCTATTTTAGAGCTGTTTTTCCCCACCAACCCCTATTTTATGGCCATTTTCCCCCAACAACTCCTATTTTAGTGCCTATTTTTCCCCACCAACCTCTATTTTAGAGCTGTTTTTCCCCACCAACCCCTATTTTAGTGCCATTTTTCCCCAATAATCCCTATTTTAGGGCCATTTTTCCCACCAATCCCTATTTTAGTGCCTATTTTTCCCCACCAACCTCTATTTTAGTGCCTATTTTCCCCACCAACCCCTATTTTAGAGCTGTTTTTCCCCACCAACCCCTATTTTAGTGCCATTTTTCCCCAATAATCCCTATTTTAGGGCCATTTTTCCCACCAATCCCTATTTTAGTGCCTATTTTTCCCCACCAACCTCTATTTTAGTGCCTATTTTCCCCACCAACCCCTATTTTAGAACTGTTTTTCCCCACCAACCCCTATTTTAGTGCCATTTTTCCCCAATAATCTCTATTTTAGGGCCATTTTTCCCACCAATCCCTATTTTAGTGCCTATTTTTCTCTACCAACCCCTATTTTAGTGCCCTTTTTCCCCACCAACCCCTATTTTAGTGCCGTTTTTCCCCACCAACCCCTATTTTATGGCCATTTTTCCCCAATAATCCCTATTTTAGTCCTCTTTTTCCCCAATAATCCCTATTTTAGAGACATTTTTCCCAATAATCCTTAATTTAGTGCCATTTTTCCCCACCAAGCCCTACTTTAGTGCCGTTTTTCCCCAATAATCTCTATTTTAGGGCCATTTTTCCCCACCAAGCCCTATTTTAGAGCTGTTCTTCCCCAGCAATCCCTATTTTAGTGCCTATTTTTCCCTAACAACCCCTATTTTAGAGCTGTTTTTCCCCAGCAGTCCCTATTTTAGGGCCATTTGCTGCCATTCCCGGTATTCAGGGCCGTGTTTCACCACCAATTTCCCCCCCTGCAGTACTTCCAGAAGGTGATCCCGCACCAGTTCGACTGCTGCCCCGACAAACTCATCCTCAGGGCCTTCCAGGTCAAGTTCAACCCCAAGAAGATGAAGAGGTGAGCGGGGGGTGGGTGGGTCCCTGTGTTTTTCGGGGAAGGGGTCCTGCTCCCCGTCTCCCCAGCGTGTCCCCATGTCCCCAAACGTGTCCCCACGTCCCCCGCAGGCTGGAGAAGGAGTACGCGGCCATCAAGAACAAGGAGATGGAGGAACAGATCGAGATCAAGGTGAGGGGGAGCAAGAGTTGGGGGCCTGGGGCCACTTTGGCCATCATGGTGGCCACTGGGGCCAGTTGGTCCCTGTTGGGCTGTCATAGCCCATCCTGGAGCCACTTAACTCATCCCAGGACCACTTAACCCATCCTGGAGCCACTTAACCCATCCCAGGACCATTTAACCCATCTTTGGGGCCAGTTAACCCATCCTGGGGCCACTTAACCCATCCTTGGGGCCACTTAACCCATCCTTGGGGCCACTTAACCCATTCCTGGGGCCACTTAACCCATCCTTGGGGCCACTTAACCCATTTTTGGGCCACTTAACCCATTTCTGGGGCCACTTAACCCATCTTTGGGGCCACTTAACTCGTCCCTGGGGCCCCTTAACCCATCCTTGGGGCCACTTAACCCATCCCTGGGGCCACTTAACCCATCTTTGGGGCCACTTAACCCATCCCTGGAGCCACTTAACGCATCCCAGGGGCCATTAACCCATCCTTGGGGCCACTTAACCCATCCCAGGGGCCCCTTAACCCATCCCTGGGGCTACTTAACCCATTTTTGGGCCACTTAACCCATTTCTGGGGCCACTCAACCCATTTTTGGGCCACTTAACCCATGCCAGGGGCCACCTGGGGTCACTGTACTCCCCTGTCCCGCTGTCCCCAGACCCAGTGACCCCCCTAGGGCCACCAAACTGCCCCCCATGGCTTATTTCACCCCATTTTTCCCCCCAGCGCCTCCGCACCGAGAACCGTCTGCTGAAACAGCGCATCGAGACCCTGGAGAAGGTGAACCCCCACCCCAAGAACCATGGGGGTACCCCAAAATTCCCTTATGGCCACCTAAATCTCCTCTGGAGCACCCCAAAACTCCCTGGAGGACCCAAGATGTCCCCTGGAGCACCCCAAAACAAGCTGGGGGCACCAGAATCCCCCCAGAGCACCCCAAATGCCCCCTGGAGGACCCAAAATGTCCCCTGGAGCACCCCAGAACTCCCTGGAGGACCCCAAAACCCCCCTTGGAGCACTCAAACGCCCCCGGAGCACCCCAAAGTCCCCCTGTGGGCACCCAAATCCCCCTGTGGGCATCCCAAAACCCCCCTGTGGGCACATAAAACTCCCCTTGGTGTACCCCAAAACCTCCCAGGGGCACCCAAACCCCCCTTTGAGCACCCAAAACACCCTTGTAGGCACCTAAATCCCCCCTGTGGGCACCTAAATCCCCCCCTGGAGCACCCCAAAACTCCCTGGAGGACCCCGAAACCCCCCTTGAAGCACCCAAATGCACCCTTGGAGCACCTAAATCTCCCCCTGTGGGCACCTAAATCCCCCCTGGAACACCCCCAAACCCCCTTGGAGCACCCCAAGACCCTCCAGGGGCACCTAAATCCCTCCTGGAGCACCCCAGAACTTCCTGGAGGACCCCAAAACGCCCCTTGGAGCACCCAAATGCCCCTGGAGCACCCCAGAACCACCAGGGGCACCCCAAAACCCCTCGGGGGCACTCCAAACCCCCCTTGGAGCACCCCAAGACCCTCCAGGGGCACCTAAATCCCTCCTGGAGCACCCCAGAACTTCCTGGAGGACCCCAAAACGCCCCTTGGAGCACCCCAAGACCCTCCAGGGGCACCTAAATCCCTCCTGGAGCACCCCAGAACTTCCTGGAGGACCCCAAAACGCCCCTTGGAGCACCCCAAGACCCTCCAGGGGCACCTAAATCCCTCCTGGAGCACCCCAGAACTTCCTGGAGGACCCCAAAACGCCCCTTGGAGCACCCCAAGACCCTCCAGGGGCACCTAAATCCCTCCTGGAGCACCCCAGAACTTCCTGGAGGACCCCAAAACGCCCCTTGGAGCACCCCAAGACCCTCCAGGGGCACCTAAATCCCTCCTGGAGCACCCCAGAACTTCCTGGAGGACCCCAAAACGCCCCTTGGAGCACCCCAAGACCCCCCAGGGGCACCCCAAAACACCCCTGTGGGCACCTAAATCCCCCCTGGATCACCCCAAAAGCCCCCAGGGGCACCCCGAAACACCCCTGGAGCACCCCAAATCCCCCTGGAGCACCCAAAACTCTCTGGGGGCACCCAAGTCCTCCCTGGAGCACCCCAAAACCCCCCTGTGGCCACCCCAAAACACCACTGCGAGCACCTAAATCCCCCCAGGGGCACCCCAAAACACGCCAGTGGGCACACCAAT